GAATTCGGTTGCATTCTTGGGTCATGTTGTATCAGCAGAAGGTATTCAGGTGGATCCTAAGAAGATTGCAGCAGTCAAGGATTGGCCTAGACCCACATCAGCTATAGAGATCCGGAGTTTCTTGGGCTTGGCGGGTTATTACCATCGGTTTGTGGAGGGGTTTTCATCTATTGTAGCCTCGATGAACAGGTTGACCCAGAAGGGTGCCCAGTTCAGGTGGTCGGACGAGTGTGAGGCGAGCTTTCAGAAGCTCAAGATAGCTTTGACTACGGCACAGGTGTTGATTTTGCCTACAGGTTCAGGGCCATATATAGTGTATTGTGATGGATCGTGTAATGGACTTGGGGCGGTGTTGATTCAGAATGGCAAGGTTATTGTATATGCTTCGCGACAGTTGAAGATCTACCAGAAGAATTATCCAGTTCATGATTAGGAGTTAGCAACCATTGTTCACGCGCTGAAGATTTGGAGGCATTACTTATATGGCGTGTCATGTGAGGTGTTCACGGATCACAAGAGTTTGCAATACTTGTTCAAGCAGAAGGAGCTAAATTTGAGGCAGAGGAGGTGGTTGGAGCTGTTGAAAGACTATGATATCACCATCATGTATCATCCGGGGAAGGCCAATGTAGTGGCCGATGCTTTGAGTAGGAAGTCAGCCAGTATGGGCAGCCTTGCGTATACTCCGGTCGGTGAGAGGCCGCTTGCTTTGGATGTTCAAGCTTTAGGCAATCAGTTCGTAAGGTTGGATGTTTCTGAGCCCATCTGTGTTCTAGCTTGCACAGTCACTCGTTCTTCATTATTTTAGCGTATCCAAGATCGGCAGTATGATGACCCTCATTTTCTTGTCCTTAGAGATACAGTGCGGCACGGAGGTACCAAGCAGGTTACAGTTGGAGATGATGGAGTTTTGAGGATGCATGGTCGTATTTTTATACCTAATGTGGATGGGCTTCGTGAGTTGATTCTAGAGGAGGCCCATAGTTCTCGGTATTCTATTCATCCGGGCGCCGCTAAGATGTATCACAATTTGCGGCAACATTATTGATGGAGGAGGATGAAGAAGGACAGTGTTTCCTATGTAGCTCGGTGTTTGAATTGTCAGCAGGTAAAGTACGAGCATCAGAGACCAGGTGGTTTGTTTTAGAAGATTGAGATTCCTGAGTGAAAGTGGGAACGGATCACTATGTACTTCGTTGTTGGACTCCCACGGACTCAGAGGAAGTTCGATGCAGTATGGGTTATTGTTGATAGGCTGACCAAGTCAACGCATTTCATTCATGTGGCAGTCTCCTATTCTTCCGAGAGGTTAGCTGAGATCTATATCCGGGGGATTGTTCGTTTTCATGGTGTGCCCATGTCTATCAGTTATGATCGAGGTACACAGTTTACCTCGTATTTCTGGAGGGCAGTACAGCATGAGTTGGGCACGGGGGTCATGTTGAGCATAGCATTTCATCCTCATACGGATGAGCAATCCGAGTGTACCATTCAAATTTTGGAGGATATGCTCCGAGCATGTGTCATTGACTGTGAAGGTTCGTGGGATTGGTTCTTTCCTTTAGCGGAGTTCGCCTAAAACAACAGTTACCAGTCGAGCATCCAGATTGCTCCCTATGAGGCTTTATATGGTAGGCGGTGTCGGTCGCCGGTTGGATGGTTTGAGTCGGGAGACGCTCGGTTGTTGGGTACGGATCTAGTACAGGATGCCTCGGACAAGGTGAAGATCATTTAGGATAGGCTTCGTACCACTCAGTCCAGGCAGAAAAGTTATGCCAACTGCAAGGTTTCGTGATGTGGCATTCATGGTTGGAGAGCGAGTGTTGCTATGGCTGTCGCCTATGAAGAGCGTGATGAGATTTGGGAAGAAGCGCAAGCTAAGCCCTAGGTTCATTGGTCCTTTTGATATTCTTGATCGAGTAGGAGAGGTGGCTTACAAACTTACGTTGCTGCCGAGTTTATTAGTTGTGTACCCAGTGTTTCATATGTCCATGCTTCGGAAGTATCACGGCGATCCATACCACGTGTTAGACTTCAGCATTGTCCAGTTGGACAAGGATCTGACCTATGAGGTGGAGCCGGTAGCTATTCTAGACTGGCAGGTTCGATAGTTGATATCGAAGAAGTTTCCTTCAGTTTGTGTTCAGTGGAGAGGTCAGCCTGCCGAGGACCTGGGAGTCCGAGTCCAATTTGCGAAGCTATTATCCCCATCTTTTCCTCGACTCAGGTACTTCTTTTCTACGTCTGTTCAAGGATGAACGATTGTTTTCGAGGTGGAGGATGTGATGATCCAAAAGGTCATCACTTGATTTATAAGTCAATTCTGTGTTCCGAGGCCTTAAAACCTCCTTTTTATCTCACCTCAATTTGCGTGCATGGTCTGGACGTATATCCAGAACGCTTTTATGTGGAATTTTGATAAAAATGCTAATTTTGCCTTAAAAATTAAATTTAAATTGACTTCGGTCATCATTTTGGGTAAATGGACCCGGACTCGTGATTTGACGGTCTCGGAGGGTCCATAGAAAAATATGAGATTTGGGCGTATGCCCAGAATTGAATTCCGAGGTCCCAAGCCCGAGAAATGATTTTTTGAAGAAAATTTTTTATATCAAATTTTAAGAGTTTTTGGAAATTTAAATGTGTTTGAAATTGATTGTATCAGACCCTTGTTTTGATTCTGGAGCCCGGTATAGGTCTTATGTGGTATTTAGGTTGAGCCTGTAAAATTTGGTAAGAAGCAGACTTGAGATGACGTGAATCGGACCCTCGGTTGTTATAATTTGAACTTAAGAGTTATGGAGATTTTTCTTTGATTTTGATGTTAAACTCGTAGTTCGAGATGTTAATTTGGGGACTTGATTGCACGAGTAAGGCCATATGATGTTTTTAAGTTAGTATGCATGTTTGGTTTGGAGCCCCGAGGGCTCGGGTGAGTTTCGGATAGGTTTCGGGGTGTTTTGGCCTTAGGATTTTTTGCTGTTTTGCTGCTTCTGGTGTGCTGGTGTATTATTCTTCGCGTTCGCTAAGGAAATCTCGCGAATGTGAAGAGTAAGTCAGTTTGAGAGAATTTTTCCTCTACTCGAACGAGAAGCATTGATGGTGTTACCCTTTACGAACATGACCTGGCTATCGCGAATGCGAAGGCCATTTGTCCGGGAACTGGGGGAAGGGATTTTACCCTACGCGATCGCGGTGTAGGTCTCGCGAATGCGAAGGTCAGGGGGTTAACCCTTCGCGATGACAGGCTTCTTGCGAACGCGACAGGCTTCTCGCGAACGTGAAGAAGACCTGTCCAATGAATTAAAAACCAAACCAAAAACGGGAATAAACCATATTTTCATATCTCCTTCCCAAAAATCAGACCTTAGGCGATTTTTGAAGAGCAAATTCAATCCCAAATAATAGGTATGTGTTCCTAAACTCATATTCTTCCTTTTCCATCAACACCCATTAGATTTCTAGGCTTAAATATTGTTCTTCCATGGCAGAAATTAGGAATTTGGGTAGAGTTAGGGCTTTTTGAATAATTGGAATTTAGATCTCGTTTTGGGGTCGGATTTCGAAACTAATTGAATATTCGGGCTCGTGGATGAATTGGTGATCGGGTTTTGGTTCGAACCTCGAGTTTTGACCAAGCGAGCCTGTGGTCAATTTTTGACTTTTTGGGAAAAATGATAGAAAACCTATAATTAAGCATTGGGTATGAATTCTTTAGCATTTATTGATGTTGTTAAATTAATTTGGACTAGATACAAGTAAATTGGAGGATATAAAGGAAAAACGGTGTTTGAGGCTTGAGTTGGCCGTGGAAGTTCGAGGTAAGTGTTTGGTCTAACCTTAGCTTAAAGGAATATGTATTGTGCTTTATTTGCTATGTTCTAGTGTAGTGTACGACGTATAGGCGTGGTGACGATTATCTATACGTCGTTGTCAAGCATGCCCGTGAGTCGTAAATTATAATCGTTGTGTTTCTTAATAAGTACTACAAATGCCTAAATTGTTAATTCCCCGTGTTGGGCAAGACTTATGATTATCTTCGTGGTATTTGTTTATTATTGAGCATTGGCTACAGTTGAGGTTTCATTTGTGAAGTTAATTGTTGGTAGAAGTATGGTTATAGCTGATTCCCTTGTCGGGACGTATTTATTTCTTACTGTTGATTCTCTTGCCGGGATGTGTTTATTCTTGTTATTGATTCCCTTGCCGGGATGTTGTTGTTGCTATTGTTTGGGTGAGGAAAGAGAGATAAAGCACGAAGGGTGATGCTGAACACATTCATATTTATGCATTTGGTGAGGAAAGAGTGATAAAACACGAAAGGTGATGCAGTGTACATTTTCATTGATATTGATGAATATGGTGAGGAAGAGAGATAAAACACGAAGGGTGATGCCGTGCACATTTCTAATATTTACATGGTGAGGAAGAGAGATAAAGCACGAAGGGTGATGTCGTGCATGTGTGCACGTGATTTTTGCCCGAATAATAATATTCCTACAAAAGTCACAAATGAATTTCCTTTTGAGTATCTTTTTTTAGGAATTTATAGTAATTATTTGCATTTAATTACATTTTGGTGCGTATTTAATATTTTTTTTAGGGGAAATACCCTAAAATGTTCAAAATTCATGCATTGCATTTTTAGGTTTAAGTTGTGATTAATTGCATTAATAGACAAAAATCAAAAAATATTAGCTATTTTTACATTTTCTAGCTTTTGTCTCAAATTAGTAATTTCTTTGCATTTATCTTTAAGTTAATTAATATTTTTTATGTTTTAAATAAATAATTAATATGATTTTTCAAATTAGATTTTAGNGAGGGACATTGAATAAACCTGAAATTGGGCTAAGGGAAATTTCTGAAGCCCAAGTCTCCACCCGAAACCACCATTAGCCCAATCCCTAGCATTAAACCCGCCCAGCCCAACCGGGTCGACCCGCTCCATTCCCCAAATATAAACATATAAACATAATAATAGAGAAACAAAACCCTAGACCTAATCTCTAAGAACCCAAACGGCGCTGCCCTTCCCCATCCGATCCCTGCAGCGTTTCAACCCATCAAAACTCGCCAAACTCAGGTGAGTTCACTCGCACACGCCCTTATCCCACCACATCATCAAGATGCTAGCGGTCTCTGATAGATTCCCTCTTCCTCACATGCCTTTTCCTTGGCTTTTTGGATTTTTACTCCTTAGACCGAAATTAGGAAAAATGGGGGGCGTAGGATTGAGTGAAGTTGGATCCACTCCCTCTATTTGTCCCTTTTCCATAAAAAAAGGGGGTAAAAAATCAGATTCGGCTGTTTGGAGAAAAATTCGGATATTTCTTGGGGAGGAAGTGTAGAAGCTTCGAGAGGTGAGTATATATAGTTGTTTTCTCAGAGGTTTCAGGGGATTTTTTGGATAGAAAATTTGGAGAGGAAAATTAGGGTTCTAGGAAATGTTCTTCTTCTTCCTTTTTATTCATCTTCGTTTTTAGTTTAATTCCAGAAACAATACAAAAATACAAAAATATTTGTTTCTTTTAGTTTGATATTCGCATCTCTGTTTTTTTCATCTTTAAATCCGGAAAGTTCACTTTTACTATGGAGTTCGATTGAGTTCGAAAGTTGAGGTCTGTTCGAAGGTCACGGTTGCAGTTCTGAGGTTAATTTGCTATTTTGTACGTACCAACTTCTCACATATTGAAGAAAGTTCATTACAGGTTCATTTCTTTCCTCTGCTACTATTTTGGCGTGCACAAAATATGATGAGAGCTTAGGATAAAATGATTGAGTTTTAGATTTAGTAGAGGCACTTTGAACGAGTTCTGTTTCATCTTTGTGCTTAAAGCATTTTTCTGAGTTGGGATTTATTTGTCTTGAATCTGTTTAATTGAATACCAACCTGATTTTTGGTTCCATAAATCTCTTAGATTACTCTTAGTGTCACTATTAAGCTTAAACTTGCTCGAAACATGTTTACTTCAAGTTTTGGGCCATTGTACGAAGGATCAGCGATGTGCTCGTTATGGTTCTCATGAACATCTCTGTTTGTTTGGTTAAATCTAAGCTTAAAAATGAAGCCAAAAATCATCTTCTGAGTTCCCCGCTTATTTCCGTATCAACTAGCATTGAATCTTGTCTTCAAGTAAAAGTTAGTGTCGAGCTGCCCCTTACCTGATATGTTTAGCAATGAGTTTTGGAGAATCCTCTTTGTTTCCTGAGTTTGAATTTGAAATAAGTTTTGAGATCGTCTTTGGTGATTATTCATTCATTATCAGACGAGCCTTTAATCTAAGAATACAAATCAAATTCAAGATTGGCTTGGTTTTTGACCTGTTTTGATTGAGGTTTTGTGCCGCTATGCAACTGTCAAATGATCCATGGATTATCAGTGTGTTTTCTTGAGCTTGTTGTGAGCATTGGGATTTAGTTTGTTGGTGTAAGCTCGAAGCAAGTTCCATAAACCCTGTTTGATGTGTTTCTTTCCTTTCATCTTGTTACTATGCTGAATGGGACCATATTCTGGAGGCTTCTGCTTTTCTATTAAGATATGCCAGTAATTTAACTAAAATCAGTTTGAATTCGTGTCAGCTTCGCGCTTGATTTGTTTGTTTCTTAATGATTCGAGTTTGAAACTATACTAATTCATTTGTTGATAAAGATCCATGTGTGCCTCTTTGATATGATTTGAGTTGTTTGTGACTTTCATCTTTAAGGTTTCCAAAAGATAAGCCAAAAAGTTCTACCAATTTGAGTTTGAGCCTTTTGTTGAGTGTTCCCCATTCCACTGTTTAAAGAATGAGATTGATGGTTATTTCCTTTTAGTGTTGGTGCCATGTTCTATTATGATAATTAAGGGAAGAAACTGTTTTGTTGGCTAATTTAACGTGAAGATATGAATGAATGGCTTCCAACATATATCATTATGAATTGTTGTTTCTTTGTGAGGAAACTGAATAACAATGGGGTTAAGGGATACAGACTCTCTCTTTCATATTTTCGACATATTAATCTTTGCCTATCTTATATTTTGTTATGTATTACTACTCATTAACTGGCTCTATTTCAGATGTTTTATTCTTTGATTATGTCTCTATTCTTGCTGTTTGGTTATTTGATCTCGCTTAGTTTGTCAATGCTTGACGCTGTTGCATGCTTCTTTGAATGAACAGTGTCATGGGAGTTTTTTTTTTTGGAAAAATCCAGTCCATTAGTGATTAATTGGTATGCATGTTTTAGAATTGGGCTAAGTTCCATACATGAAATGAAGAATTTAAAAGTGATTGAGTCATGAAACAATTTTAAGTTAAGGATTTGGGCCGAAGAGTTTAACCCGGCCCAAGAAGAATCGAGAGCCTTTTTTATGACTAACACTCTTTCCACATGAATTTTTTATCCGTTGATTTGCATCACCTCTCCTCCACTTCAAATAGTTTAAGAATAAATAATTCTTGTATATTTGTAGTTTGCTTTAGGCGCGATTCAATATATCATCGTGATTGTGTACACGTTCGCGTGATATAATTACGATCCTAAAAACAAAATTGGGGTATGCGTTCACGCAATTTCGACTGAACTTTCTTAATAATAATAAAGCGTGATTAATTGTGGACACGTATGCATGACATGATTCTTGATGCACCAAACGAAATGAGTACACATACACGTGACTCGTTTTAGGATAATTTCTTAACTAAATGAGGTAAATGCGCATAGGCTCTAAAATAAGTAATTAGATAATTTAATTAAGCCAAGTATGATTAAAGAGATCATGCTAAAATCACGGAACCCGGGAACACCTTTTTTCGGATTAACAGAATTCCTTACCTGGATATCTGTGTTCGCAGGCCATAAATAGAGCCAAACTTCCTCGATTCGAAATTTTAAACCGGTGACTTGGTGACTTTGAATTTGAATAAATAATTCTGTTTCGATTATTGTCACTTTAATTGGAAAATCTCCCTTATACCCCTCTTTCGAGTAAAAAAAAGGAGGTGTGACAGTGCACATTTTCATTACTTGATTGCATTGGTGAGGACTGAGAATAAAAGGACGAAGGGTAATGTCGTGCACTTATTGCATGCTTGTTATGATTTCTTGTTGTTTCGGTTCAAGTACCTTAATTGTCTTATTCCATTATTACTGTGATTCTTTACGTTGGTATTTTCCCCATAGCATGTTACCCCTCCCCCGTTACTTTTGAATTACTTCTATTATTGTTATTATGCTAGATACTGTTTAACTGCAGGTTATGATTGTTTGTTGTGTCCTAGCCTCGTCACTACTTCGTCGAGGTTAGGCTCGATACTTACTAAGTACATGAGATCGGTTGTTCTGATACTACACTCTGCACTCTTTTGTGCAGATTCCGGTACTGGAGCATACAGACCTTAGCTAGGGGTTGCTGCTGTCAGTCCATCAGGAGACCCGAGGTAGTCTTCCAGGCGTTCACAAGCCTTGGCGTCCCCTTCCTATCTAGTTTTCTTCTGTTCTTTACTCTTTCAGAGACAGACATGTATTTATTTTGTTCGGACCTTATTTGTAGTATTCTTAGATAGTCAGTGAGATTGTTGCACCAGTTCTGGGTGGTTTATGTTTATGGATTCGTATTGGTACTAGCTTAATTGTCAAATTTCTTTCATCCGCATTATTATTTACGTTGTTTATAATATGTTAACTTGAAATTGCTAAGAGATTAAAAAAAATGAATGAAAAGGGTAAAGTAATCGGAATAGTTGGCCTGTCTAACTTTAACTAGTAGGCGCCATCACGACTCCCGAGGGTGGGAAAATCGGGTCGTGACATCTGTCCAACATGTCTCTTTTTTTTTTCTTTTTTTTTAACTTTGAACTTTTTTTCAATTTTTTAGGCTGTGGCACGGCAGCTTCTCCGGTGGAGTTAGCTTCTCTTCTCTGACATTTTCTTTAGCGAGGTAAGCTATTTCTTTGTCATATTTCTTATTTTTGTTGTAAAATTTGAGAAATTTCACTTTTGTTTGGGTTTATTCGATTTTCTGAATAATTTTTTAAATTAGTTTGTTGGAATCGCTTTAATTCCTGTAATGAATATTGTGGTTCAAGGTTAGTTCTTTAAGCTTGGAATTGAATTTAGGATCAAGTAGAAGAACTAATCATCAATTACTTGACTTATAATAATAAATTTAAAATTAAAGAAAATTAATGAAATAACATATTTAATATTCTTGTTTGCTATTGAATGTGATAACTTTTTTGAGAAGTTATCCTACAATTGTATGTGTATTTAGGTTTTCTATGCACTTGCATGATTTTTCTTTAAAAATGTGTGGAAAAAACTTTAAAATGAGAGAACATTTAATCCACCAAACGAAAAAATACGACCCCTAAGCAATTTGGAATAGTCGCTCATCTTTAGAATTCATCTCATCTAAATACGTTGCTCTTTCGTTAGCATATTTAATATGAATAGGATGAATTAATCTTAGAAAAAGTAACATCATTGCCATAAATTTATCTATAAAATGATATACTAACTTTAAAGTGTATTGGTTTGGAATTGTATTAAGTAATTATAGTTTAAAGTTTATAAAGTTAAACTCATTGTTGCTTGTTAGTTTTGGAATGATATTACATTTTAAACTTATTTGTTTCTACATCAAACTGAATTTTATAAATTTGAGAAATCATTAGTCATGTGTGCACTTTATGAACATATAGGAAGTTATTCAAATTTAATCAGTATAGTTAAAGACTTATATTTTAGAGTAGGGATTAATGTGAGATTTTGAGTGTTAAAAAATATTAATTAAAAAGAATATAATGTATTAATTAAAGTGCTTCGGCACTTTAACGACCCAACTGGTCGTTTTGCTTTTTTAGAACCCCGTCCCCCTAAATAAAACTTTCCGCACTTGCTTTAACTAATTTACGACCCGCGGGGATTGTTGGTTCGGGATTTGGAAGAATTTGGGTTGAAATATGCTCATTTGATTCCTTATGATTTTCTTAAAAGGCTAAGTTTGACTTTGGTCAATATTTTTAGCAAACGGACCCGAATTCGTGTTTTGACGGTTCCGGAGGGTCCGTAGGAAAATATGGGACCTGGGCATATGCCCGGAATCGAATTCCGAGGTCCCTAGCCCGAGTAATGAATTTTTATTAGAAATTGTTAAACTGAAATTCTAAGGATTTAAAGAAACTAAGTAATGATTGATCATGTAGGTGTCGGGCTCGTATGTTGGTTCCGGAGCCTAGTACAGGTTCAATATAACATTTAAGATCTGCCCACAAAAATTTGGTATCAATCCGAGTAGTATAAGTACGTTTCAGCACGTTAGAAGTGAATTTAAGAACTTGAAGTTCATAAGTTTGATTCAATTGGTTTTAGGGGGTGATTCGTAATTTTTGCGTTGTTTCGGGTGTTCCGAAGGTTCACGCGGGTCCGTTTCGTGATTTCAGACTTGTCGGTATGTTCGGGTGGGGCCCGAGAGCCCCGAGCGTCAATCAGACGAGGCTCGAGTGAAGTTGGAAAAGTTGAAAAGAGCTGAAGCATCTGGTTTTTGTCATAACCGCACCTGCGGTTGGTCAGCCGCAGGTGCGAGACCGCAAAAGCGGTCGTCTTCTCGCAGATGCAGCCAAGACAAGCTAGGCCCAAAACCGCAGAAGCGACTGCGCAGAAGTGGCATCAAGACCGCAGAAGCGGTCCCAACCCCGCTTGGCCAATTCCGCAGATGCGGCCATTTTCTCGCAGAAGCGGGACCGCCGATGCGAAAATCACTGAAGCAGTGAGCTTCATTTATTGCGGGCTCTAAGTCATTTTTGGCCATTTTTCACTCATCCATTGGGCGATTTTAGAGCTCTTGAGAGAGGACATTCACCTAGCATCTTGATATAAGTTTATCCTACCTATTTTTAGTTTAATACTTGTGTCTTAGGTAGATTAAACAATATGATTAAGGTAGAATCATGGGGTTAGGACAAAACCTAGGGTTTTGACAAAAGTTAGATTTGAACATGAAATTTGTTATGAAATGAATTAGAAATCATATATTATTGATCCTTGGGTTATAAAGAACAACTTTCTTCGAAAAATTTCGAAATCCGGGCACGTGGGCTCGGGGTCAGATTTTAGAAAACTTGTGTTTAAGGCTGGGAAATTGCTTTAATAGTGACAATGTGATCTTGTGAGCTTATATTGACTAGTTCTTACCCCCATTTAACTAGTTTTGGATAGTTCGGCTCCAAATTGAGAGTTCAGGCTCGTTTTTGGTATTGGAAGTGCACTTTGGAGCGAGGTGAGTCTCATTTCTAACCTTGTAAGAGGGAATTGTCCCCATAGGAGTAAAAAATGTATAATTTTCCACTAAATGAGGGGGCTACGTACGTACTAGGTGGCGAGAATCCGTGCGTAGCTACTATCATGTTAATTGTCCGGGTAGTTTAGGACCCGTATCATGCTATATTTGCCAATGTTATATGTCTTCTTGATAATGTGATCATTTAGGATATGCTGGAGAATTGGAAATGAACATAAGTGAACATATGCTGTGTTGGGCACTTGTAAGAGTTTATTTTAATGTAAATGAGTCGCCTTATACTTTTCTGTTGATAATTGATATTTGTGGATCGGGTCGATCGCCTCGGTAGAAATAGATGCATCTATGATTCACGCCATTCGACCCTCTGGTAGTGCACAATTTCTTTATTGTTGTCGGGCTGTCGACCTCGGCATAACGCGCATATGATATTTATGTGAATTTATTATTGATGACTTGCCTGATACATGGTTTGAACTGTAAAGGATTAACTGGGATATTGAAATGACATGACTTAGAAATCTTTATTTCAACTGTTATATAATTGTGACCATTATGCCTGACATAACATCATATTATATTATTTGACCCTAGTAGGTATCAAGTCGACCTCTCGTCTCTACTTCTTCAAGATTAGACGGGATACTTACTGGGTACATATTGTTTATGTACTCATGCTACGCTTTTTTACTTAAGTGTACATGCTCTGAGGCAGGTACATCTGGCTATTAGACCGGTGCGCATCCCTGATCATAGTCCGAGACTTCCATGGTGAGCTGCTTCCCTTCCTGTGCCGATTAGCAGTTGGATGGAGTCTTTCTTACTTTTGATTGTCTATTCTATTTCAGACAATAGGATAGACGTATTATTTATATATTCTACTAGTTGCCCACAGCTTGTGACACTAGTTCTTGGCACACACTTTAGTAGACAGTTCTTTTGAGTTGTATAACTATTATTAAATATTGCCTATTATTACCTATTTTAATTGCAAATTAAGAAAAATATTGTAACTTTTTTGGTAAGTAAAATAAGAATTCACTAATACTTCCGCGTTGGCTTGCCTAACAATGGTGTTGGGCGCCATCACGACCTGAAGTGAAATTTGGGTCGTGACAACATGGTATCAGAGCACTAGGTTCACGTAGGTCTCACAAGTCATGGACAAACCTAATAGAATCTTGCGGATCGATACGAAGACGTCTGTATTTATCTTCGAGGAGCTATAGGGTGTTAGTAAACTACTCTTTATTCATTTTCTATCATGCAGTGGATGGTACACTAAATTTCTGTTTACCTTGAAAGTGGTAACAATAATTAAAATTTGTAAATGAGATTCTAAAAATACGTGATCTATTTTTATGCTAGTTGTTAGAGCAGATAATGCTAGGAATATGAAGTTTAATGATGAAATGCAAGCTGAAACGGGGTAATAATCAAATCGAGAGGCCTGCTTCCCGGGTATAGGACTGGTCGATGGGGGACCTCAGGGTCGATATCTGGGTCAAGCTCGAGCTATCGGGGATAGTCGGGAATGGGATAACAGTTAGGTTATGATCAAACAAAGCTCTATATGGCCAAGGCCAAGCGATAAATAAAGAACAAGTAAGAAAGTGATAAATGCTAAAGTGGCCTCGAGCCAGTGAGAGCAAGCGAGTTAGAAAGAAGAGATAGAGATATTATTGATCTTGTGGAGAAATAGTTGGAGCAACATCAACCCTTTACAAGGTGGTGTGGGTTCCCTTTATATAGGAGGTGAACCCGGCTATAGTACATGAGCATTAATTGTAAAGTATGGAGACGTGACGGCTAGACGCGACGCTTTGGCGTAGGCTCTGGATAGGCCGGCCTTGTCAGATTTATCCGTGTGCCTAGGGAAATTCCCTTTTTGTTATAGCCTCATCCTCCGTCTTCCATTTAATACTTGCCATTATTCTTGCCTTTAGAGGGACTAAGAGGAGGAGTGGGTGGAGGGCCCCTGGATATTGTGAAATAAGATGATGATGCCAGAGTGCACGAACTAACTTTTGGGAAGGGGAATAATAAAAACAAAAATAAAACAAAAGGTAGTCAAGTCAGTGAGGATTTTAAATGTATTGCAATATTTAAACACATAGTGCGGGAATATAAAGCGTGTCCTAATTTGGGAACCTCTTTGAGCCCGAGGTAGGCCCAGTGACAAATAGACTTAGAGAACTTCGAATGCCAATAGATGCTTCATTTCATAATATAAAAATAGACAAATCCCAAAATGATACTAAAATAATAATAAGTCACTACTAGTGCTTGGCCTTATTACATTTGGAAAGCGAGTAAACCTAATCTATTTGGCCTTAGAAGGGCCTTCCTCAGGTTGAATACTCTCGTTGATTAAATCCTCCTGTTCGCGTAGGTTCACCAGTAAAAATACCTTTGCCAGGTGTTCCCCTTCGTTTCCCTCAATGTTCTAGCAGTCGGTGACTCTCTTCCTCACTTTTCCTTCCAATTCCAGTAGACTGTATTCCAGATATTCTAACTTTTTGCTAGATTTGGCGGCCCTCTCTTTCCATTCATTGATTTGGTCATTTGATGGAAGACTCCTCCACCAGTCTAGCAAGAGTGGGGGCATGCTAACTATACCGAAATTGGGGACCTCGAGCCTCATTTTCTGCAAAACAAAAAGGGTTAGACCCTACCCCCACCAGACTCGACTATTTATACATTTATGATCAGCACATCGATATTTTAGTTCTCCAAATTAATGCATAAAATGTGGTTGCGTCCATAGGGATTATGGAAAACCCGATGGACTTTAGATAAGTCTTTATCTTAAATGATCATTATGTGGGCAACATAACTGATCCAACTAGGTTTGACCATAATGCATGCACAATTTAAATAGAGTAAGGTTTCTATGGGGTTTTAGACTGGTACCCTTGAGCAGACAACTCAAGGGGAAAGGCACGGAACTGTTGACTGCACCACTGATCGACTATTTTTACCGCAAATAAGTCTTTCCAAATTTATGGGGGTAGTGATACAGGAAAGGCACAACCACTCATCAAGCATTGCTATAGTATTTGTTTGGCACGAGTGGAGTATGATGTGGAGCATGATTTATGCAGCAGTTAATAACATATAGGCAAGTATTTTTCACGTTGGAAAAATAAATACAACATTTAAATAATTGAAAACACAGTTATAAGAAAAGGAAAAGATAGAGACAAGTCAGTTTTCAGGGTAATAAAGAAATCATAAATGCTTAAAAAGAAACAGACAATTAAATTCAAATAAGGGAGGAGGGTACGGGATAAAGCATGCTTGAACTAATTTGTAAAGATAAGTTTGTTATGGTAAGAGCCTAAGAAATATCCCCAGCGGAGTCGCCATGCTATCGCGCCCCCTTTTTCCATCCTCGGGGAGAGAGGTCGGGGTTTCGACATTCCATGGGGTGCAATGACTCATTTCCTTTTTGGTAATTGGGTATTTGAAGAGTCGCCACCTAACGGATTATGGTGCGTTAGGGCACCTAGAGTGATTAACTCTTGGGTTGGTTTGCATTACCAGAGATTAGGGTAAGGTCTCAAGATAACCTCGAGGGGAAGGTGTTAGGCACCCCTCTTGTCCACAACTGTAGGTCCCGACCAAACTTATATTTTTACAAATTAGTCCATATAAATAATTGAATCAAATAGGTGCAGTACGTTTGAACAAGTCAAGTAGTGAGATAAAGGTTGAACAAATTATGAAGAAAAGTTTTAAACAAGAAGAAGGTTAGGGGGTAAAGAAGGGTCCTAGGTTGTTTATCCTACGGGATCACCCTACACAATGTCCGGTAAACACTCCTCAATGAGGGGATACACGTGACATTAGCGCTTAGTCATCATATCCCACGTCTACCCTTCTCATCCCCTTATTGATCATGCAAAGCGAGTGTTGGTCATCGATTCCTATTGCGTGCTACTACTCGTCCCTTCTTAATAGTCCCAGAGGGAATTAAGACCTCTTCCTATAGGCAGTTCTAGACATACCCCTAAGGCTTAAAGGAAAAATTCTAAGGCGACAATCAAAGAAAAGCAATTTAGGAATTTCACATAAATGGAGCAATTAAAGGCTCATAGTTTCCTCTGCAAACAAGCGTACATGCAGCACGACTCAACCACAAATAAGGTCTTTAGTAATCAAAGTCCTAAAGCATGATTTCTAAATGATTATGCAAGAATAAACCACTTTAAGATGCAGAAGTCACAACCTATTAGTTGCCTAGGATCTCTTTTAAAAGCTCATTATGATTCAGAAACGTTGAGTGACAGAAACAACTTCAGAGCAGTGCAAGTTTTGAAAATGCCCTAAGGCTTTCCTACATGCAGGACTGATACTTATGTTAATGCAGAAACAAGCAAGTTTTGAAATAATTCCTTTTAAACCTACATGCAGGATATCTAATGAGATTACAACAGTTTTGAAAGGACTAATTTTAGAAAAAAAGATTTATTGCCCGGTTTTGAGAAGTAAACTAGGCGAGGTACATTTGATCTATTAGGCTAATTTGAATTACCAGACAGAATTGCGAATTAGATCATGGTATCTAGGCGTATTATTGTTTTTAGTCAACTTGCAGTAACATATGAAAGGCTTGCTGAATCGAAATTACACCCTATAGGCATGGTATCTACACTTGAGTTGATTTAAAACATGATGACTTGGAACCTAGAAACATGGTTTTTACATGACAAATGCAGGATTTAAGAACATGATTTGTATCTGATGCAAGTGACATTAAAAGTGAAGTCCTTATAGGCATGGTTTCTATTATGATGCAAATGAGATTGAAAGCGAAACCCTACAGGCATGCTTCTACTATGAAAATGCAATCAGATTCAATAGGAATAGAAACCCGATTGGCATGTTCTCTAATGAGTGAGGCAAGCAGATTCGAAATTAAATCCTAAAGTAGGATTACTACCCAAGTTACCCCATAAAGTATACATCTACCCATCCTTTCACTAAATGCCCCAAATATCTGTTTACATATTATTACATGCCAACAAATGAATTACATAAGTGAAATAAAAATTAAGAAGCTATTATATAGAGAGCCTACAATTAGGCCATAGTTACCCAAAGCCTCTAATGGTCTTTCAATCTTTGTTTCCATAGACAAATCAGAGTCTAGGTGCATCAAAGTTCCCAAGGACCCCGTGCAATGCTTACACCTAGACTTAATAGCCAAGCATTGAACCAGTGTAGTATGGAAAGCTAGCCTCAGTATGCCAGAGTTCCAAGGGTATCAAGGGGATCCCAAGGTAGTACACATACTAGAGGGGGCAAAACTTATTAACTAGGAGTAGAGTGAAAGTGCTGGACACATGTTTGAAAGGAGTTAGTTAAAAAGCTGGACTGAAAGCTCCATTTTGAAAGCAATTAGTAACAGAGATGGTTGAAAGAAGTTGGATTAGTGAAACAAAGTTCAAACACTTCAGGGTAACACCACACATAGCAAGTGAATGAATTCAGTAATCACACATGGGGTTAAGGGGGTTCGGGGATACGTATATATTGACTGCAGACACCTGACCCCAGTAGGAGTATTAGGACTAGTATGGACATGCTCAGAGATAGTTGGACACTAGCATAATCACAAACTAGTCATGAACACATAGATGAGAGATATGGGATTTGGGATTCACAAAGTGGTAAGTGCATAATATGTGAAAGAATAAAATTGTCCAGGCATGCTTGAATCACTCAAAGGGAATACATGAATTTAATAGGAGGGGAATCATATTAGCATGCTTAGATACAGACTTCACAATAAAACCAAGTAAAAGTAGGCCAAAAATAAAAGTAACTGAAACAGGAATAGAAACATGTTGTTGTTGAGACTTTAAATTAAACTAGGACATACCAGTGAAGATAGAGGTAAGAGAAATGAAAGAACCAAGGTTTACAGATGATTTGCTTTGGCTTGCAGCAAGCTAATAGTAGTAGAATAACATAGAGTTTTTAAGTAACAAAGGGGTTTTTGAAAGCTAAGTCT